AGAAGTCAACGTAGTGTTCTTGCAAAGTGCATCTGCTAATGCTTTTCCTCCTTCTGATCCGAGTTCATTATCATTAATATTCAGAGAAGTCAGTGTAGTATTCTTGCAAAGTGCATCTGCAAATGCTTTTCCTCCATATGATCCAAGGCTATTAAAATTAATATTTAAAGAAGTCAAAGTGGTATTATTGCAAAGTGCATCTGCTAATGCTTTTCCTCCTTCTGATCCAAGATTATTATATCCTAGATTCAAAGAAGTCAACACGGTGTTTTTGCAAAGTGCACCTGCTAATGCTTTTCCTCCAAATGATCCAAGTTTATTACCATATAGATTCAAATCTTTCAACGTGGTGTTATTGCAAAGTGCATCTGCTAATGCTTTTCCTTCTTCTGATCCAAGATCATTGTATTTAATATTCAAAGAAGTCAGAGAAGTGTTTTTGTAAAGTGCATCCGATAATGCTTTTCCACCTTCTAATCCAAGATTATTATTACAAAGATTCAAAGACGTCAGCATGATATTCTTGCAAAGCGCATCTGCTAATATATTTTTTTCTTCTGGTCCAAGATCATAATTTTCAAGATTCAAAGAAGAAAGCGTAGTGTTCTTGCAAAGTGCACATAATATTCTTTTATTAGTAGCATTATTAAGTGTTAAATGTTTAAAATTTTTACTTGCTCGCAGAAACATTTCAACTAAAGAGCATTTGATAGCACTTGCAAATTCATCATAATCATTATATTTTTCGACATTATATCCTTCATTTTCAAGCCAATTTTTGACTGCATCGGCAAAATAGGAACCAACAGATGTAGTGTAACTTTCGTAGTCAAATAATGGCCTTGAATAATTTGGAAGATTAATTTTAAATGGGATTAATGGAGCTTTCTCTTCAGTATTTAATGCTAATAGATATATTCTTATAAGTCTTTCGTCACTTAAATAATTTGTAGGTTCACTCCATAATATTGGTATAATAATTCTACACCACCGACGGCTTACAAGAAGGCACGAAAATAAGGTTTTATAGTCATAATAATCATAATCAATTTGAAAATAATTGAATATTTCAAAAAGACATTCGTTAGGTAACGTCGTCATTTGAAAAAAAAACTAGCTTGAAAGTTATTAAGTATTTTAATAAAATATTTGTTTAGAACGAACTATGAATTTAGTAACGGTAAGTACAAGTACAACAATAAAATTGGATTTTACCTCCGGTATATATTTCCTAATTTAAAATGTCGTGAAACGGCAGACCTCAATATGGTTAGCTAGTGGCTGAGATGTTGCACAAATAAATGAATTTTAAAAAATGGAACAAAAAAATTTGTTGGCCAATCAGATTTCAAGATTAGGTGCTATACAGAAGAAACACAAAAATCAAACCACCTTCAGCGCATTAATAAAAATTTTTCCTTTCGAAATTTTGTTATTGAAAAAACTCTTTCTAACCTAAATTAATAGCAAACCTTAACTCTAATCTAGCAGCGAAATTTTTTAGGTAGGTATTGTAACATGGTTGTATTATGCTTTAATAATTTCCAATTAAATTCATTAAATTTTAATACCTAGATCTTATACAATTTTTTTAAAAGTTTTTTTGTAATTTATTCAAATATTATTGAAGAAGAATACTAAAAACAGTACCGTACAGTGACAATTAATATCTATTAATTATAAATTTTTTGATATAATTAAGTTTTTTTGTTTTTTATACCATCTATATTTAGTTAATCTATATTTCTTACTTTTTTTTACTTTTTTATTACTTGTACAATTTTAAATTGTATAGTACTATTTCAAGTTTAAGTTTCAGTTAAATATATTTGTATAGTCAACTATTACTTGAAACTAGAAAATCCTTAAATATATATCTGCAATATATCAAAAGTTTTTGATCAAATCCTGCTCATATTTACAAAATATAATAGTCTGCAAATTTTGCGACCACGGGACCTAATACAGTTCTCTATCTAAAAGTCTAGTATCATCACCCTAAAAATTTTACCAATTATGAGAACTTATTAAAAAAGTTGGTTCGTAATTAGTTTAGAGTTGGAGTCCCACTGGTAGGTTAGCATTTGATTTAAAAACTATAGTTATAGTAAAATTTGATGAGAAAAACTTTTCCTTGTATGCAAAAGGCACTTTATACAGTAAAATTTTAAGCTACAAGCGTTTTTTATTGCTTTGATTTTTTGTGTTTCTTTTACATTACATATAATTTTGAAACATGATTGACCATCGAAATTTTTAGCCTGGTGATTTACTAATGTTGTTTCTATTTGGTATGATAATGCAAATATGTTTAGTATCAGCGTTTGTAAAACTTAAATTTTCAAAGTGATAATTGGAAATTGACAAAGAACAGATCATGATCACCTGAAATCATAATCAATTTTTGCTTTTGAGCTTTATAATTTACTTGTTTCTAATTCTTGATCTTTTTCATTTTGTATCATTTATATATTAATTAGGCTATTTTTTTTTTTAAGAAAAATAATTATATTTGTATAGCATGAACCTACCCATATGTGTGCATTAATTGGAGATAATTGCAAAGTGACATACTTTTTTTTTGAATTTATAAATGAGATAAATCAATAAATGGCATAAATTGAAAAATGACAATAGTATTAATGAACGAATGATGTTAACATTAACGGGGTATTTGAAAAGTACATAGTATTGTTACACGCACTTTAAGGTTAATAAAACAATAGTAAATCTGAATTATCTGCAATACAGGAATATACAATGTTGTTTGTAACTATAAAATTGCCGGTGTGCAGAATTTAAAATAACTAAATTTTACATACCAGAGACATAATATCTGCTATGATTTATTTATAGGCATTATGTTTACATTTGCAATATACAACTTATTGATATATTTTAATGTTTGAATTATTAGATACTATAAAATTAATATGATTACAACGAATATCCAATTTTTTCAGGGTGTTGTTTTTGCTAAGTGCATCTGATAATGCCTTTCCTTCTTCTGATCCAAGATCGTTCCAAGCAAGATTTAAAGAAGTCAGGGTTGTATTCATGCAAAGTGCATCAGCTACTGCTTTTCCTCCAAATGATCCGAGTTTATTACCGTAAAGATTCAAATCTTTCAACGTGGTACTGTTAAAAAGTGCATTTGCTAATGCTTTTCCGCCTCCAGATCCAAGGTTATTATAGCTAAGATCTAAAAAAGTCAACGTAGTGTTCTTACGAAGTGTAGTTGCTAATGCCTTTCCTCCAGATGTTCCAAGTCTATTATCATTAATAATTAAAGAAGTTAGCGTAGTATTCTTGCAAAGCGCACCAGCTAATGCTTTTCCTCCAAATGAACCAAGATTATTAAATCCAATATTCAAAGAAGTCAGAGTTGTATTATTGCAAATTGCATCTGCTAATGCTTTTCCGACATCTGAACCAAGATTGTTATTACGAAGATTCAAAGAAGTCAACATGGTATTTTTGCAAAGCGTATCTGCTAATGCTTTTCCTCCTTCTGATCCAAGATAATTATTATCAAGATTCAAAGAAGTCAGCATAGTGTTCTTGCAAAGTACATTTGCCAATGCTTTTCCTCCTTCTGATCCAAGATTATAATTTTGAAGATTCAAAGAAGTGAGCGCGGTCTTCTTGAAAGGTACACCTGCTAATATTGTTTTATTAACAGCATTATCAAGTGTTAAATATTTAAGATTTTTACTTGCTCGTAAAAACATTATTAATAAAGAGCATTTGATAGAATCTGAAAGTATTTTTTTTTCGAAATACTTTACAATTCCTGCATTTTTAAGCCAGTTCTTGACACCATCGGCAAAATAAGGACCAACAGATGTAGTATATCTTTCATATTCAAATAATGGCCTCGGATAGTTTGGAAGACCAATTCTAAATTGAGTTAATAGAGCTTTCTCTTCATTATTTAATGCTAATAAATATATTCTTATAAGTCTTTTATCACTAAAATAATTTGTAGGTTCACTCCATAATATTGGTATGATAATTCTACACCATTGACGGTTTACAAGAAGGCACGAAAACAAGGTTTTAAAATCATAATCATAATCAGTTCGAAAATAATTGAATATTTCTAAAAGGCATTCTGTCGGTAAAATTTTCATTTTGAAAAAACTATGATTAGTTTGAATTTATTAAATATTTTAATAAGGTATTTGTTTAGTAACTAATTAATTTAAAAGAATTTTGTATAACGGCAAAAGTTTCGGTATATATAGCTAATATAAATGTCGTGTAACGTTGTACCTTAATCAACCACTTTTAACGTTAAGCAAAAAAAAATAAGTGACACAAAAAAGGTTTAGCAGTCGGATTTCTCAATGCACGCCCTTGAAACCGTGGGGTATGAAATTACAAAAATAGAATAGATTAACATAACTAGTTCGAATAACTTGATAGATTATAAAACTTAATAGCCAACTGAAATTCAATAAAATAATTTAGTTCGATGCGAAAGCTCTTATCGAACTACATAACCATTTAAAGATTAAATAATATTTTTAATATTTTCAAATCTATAACTTTATTATCAAATGAAACTTTGACAAGGGAAAAAATTTCTTATCAGAATATTAGAACTCATCATATAAGAGCTGACACAACATGATTAGTGGACCAACGGTCGAACACCAATCACTAGGGACTAACCCATCAGAATTTTTTATTCGCATCAAAGAGAACGGACAACGATCAAATGTACTCTATTTGGGCAGGCCACCATACAAATTGGATGAAATGACTAAAATGATGGCCATTCCGTATTTACTTTTCTCAAAAAGAAGAAAAAAAAAATATTAGCAACCACATAATATATTAATTCAAAAAAATCAAAATAAAGTTACTTTACTGTTCATGCTTTAAGCTTGATTATTCTTTAACAGATATCTACGTTTGATACAATATTAGATTATCATTATTAACTATATAGAACTAGGTCAGTTTCTTTCAAATTTTATTACCAAGAAAGTTTCTTAATCTGAATCCGGAGGTGAGTTTTCTATCATGGTACCCAAAGGTTGACTTTGAATAAGACAAGTTCAAATAAACGGAGCTTAATGGATTTTACTAGTTGGGTCCAGATCAGTTCACTCCATGTGACTGTAAAATGGCGAGACTTCTGAAATTACCATATCACATAAATTTTGGTTGAATTAGGTGGCGCTCAATACGTTATTTTTATTAGAAAATTATCTTAATCCAATTTCATTTACAGAGTTGCATCTGTCGATAAAAGACCTGTCCGAGACCAGTCCGATCTGATAAAGTGTCTTTTCGTCTTTGGTCCATTTCTAGGCCAAAAAAAAAAATAGAATTAGCAAAGTTCTCAGATTAAAAATCAAATGCACCATACTAGAAGAATGTCGAACCAAGAGTTCATCACCGATCGACCAAGAGTGTACGGCTTTGCAGGAACCAAGAGTTCATAATCAACAACCAAGAGTTGTTCAGCTTCTGCCAAAATTAGAGTAGGTACGAACCAAGAGTTCATAACCGATCGACCAAGAGTGTACGGCTTGACCATACTCCAACCTTCTTTCTTTTCCCTTTTTTTTTTTTAGTAAACATACCTTCCAGTTGACAATTATAGACTCTGCTTTTTCTCAACGCGTTGCATCAGAGCCAGATTTTGAAATTCGTTTGAGGTCTTTGTTGATCGTGTCAAGAATTTGGTTGACATTATTTTTTCGATAATACTTTCTAACATTTTCGCACGTCCATTCATCAACATCAGTTTTAAAAAAATCCATATTACACATTGGAGTAAAGACCTGAGAGACCGTGAGTTTTATGAGAATACAAGCCATTTATGATAATCGCGGGACTTATAATTAACGGAGGACACTCACAATTAGAGATGGAAAAATCGAGGATTTTTCGAATCTACTGCGCAGCCTGCACGGGCCTGCATTACGGCTAATGCGGGCCAAAATTGTTAAATTCTGCGTTATTACGAAAAATTCCGGGCTTCCGAAAAATTCCGCCTGCGCAGTGTCCCATCTAGAGTTTGGAACCGGTTTTATTTTTCTTATGTTAAATCCGATTAAAACCGGTTTTAACATAAGAAAAATAAAACCGGTTCCAAACACTAGTCCCATCTCTACTCACAATACTAATGGAGGTCAAAATTAAGATTAGCTAAATTTTTTTAATCCGGGTCTATTAACGGTCACATGTTATCAATCGTATTGTTTACATGATACACAGACGCAAAAACATTCATTTTTGATACACCTGCGCCTACTTTTTTGATACATCCAGATGTACCCTAAAATTCCTATACTTTTTTGATGCGACATCACGTGATCAGACTATTACGATTAATTGGTAATATAATAGAAGTTCATTGAAATTCTACCAGCTTTATTAGAAGCGATCCCGACAATATTAATGTTATAAATTTTATAGACAAAAATTTAATATTTAAACGCAAGCTCAGCTTTATTGAAATAACTGTTCAAAGTTGAACACAACTATCACATGATGTATTATTTTAATCAAATTCAACGTCTAATGACATTTAAAACATATTGTCGCGCAAGTTCTAGTCGATGCGCAAGTGCTTCCGATTCATTAGCTGGGTGCAGAGTATTTATAGTTGACACTGATTGGTAAACTTCAGGTGTTGTAAATTGTAATTGAAGTGGCGTCTCGTGTGTTTCAATGGGGAGACACGTTTTAGTTACTGTATGTTGCTTATTATTTTGTGAAGTTAAAATAGAGGTTTCAGGAATTTGTTCATTATGGTGGCACTATATATAAAGAAATTGAATAAAATTTTAAAATAGAATACTTAAAATGCAAATAATTCTTTTAATTCTTAATTAATTAAAAAAAAATAAATCTTGCCTTAATCTTGCATTTTGCCTTTCTAATACTTGCTGTCTTTCTTTTTTGAACTGAGGGTGATGGGCTTTCATTATTTGTATTTTCAGGTTGAATTGAACACAAAATATGGCTAGGCTTGCATGGTTTAGCTGATGGTTTTGAAGGTGAGCAATTGTTTAATGATCGCCATTGATTTAGCTCTAATGGTCGAAATGGATCTGTACAAATACTTGATTGTGTGTTAAAAGGATAAAAAATCTGTGTGCCTATAATATCTAAATAGGTTAGATTATTCTTTGTAATAAATTTATATTGATAATAAATACAATATTGGTATACCCTTATCATTATAAAGACGAATTATTTCCTGATATGCCTCTTCAGTAGATCCAAAATAAATTATATTGTTTTTTTGATCTGCAGATATAACTCATTCCTTATTTTTGAAATAATTAACTAGATTATGTTTTACTTCATGTACTGTGTTTATTTGAGCTGTTGCGAAAATTCTTGTGCCATGACAATGTTTGCAAACGTTGTGAAATGGACCATTCCATATATAATCCAAACATTGTGGACATTTCTCAGTAATGATATTCGTAATATAGAATCCATCTCGCAATGCAACTTTACAATCGCCAGCTAATAGTTCCATCATTGGTTGAATATAAGTAGTGTTTTCTTTATCTAATTCCATTAATTCTTCATTATTATCTAGGTCAATAACTTCTGATTCAAGATACTTCTTGACATAATAATAATCTGGATGATCAGATTGCTCAATCAAACCTAGAAAAAAATACAATCTTCCTTAATTTAACTATCGATTCATATCTGATGCCATTTTAAATGATTTATTTTGCTATGTATAACAATATAAATTAAATGAATTAATAATTATAATATATTGATATATATATGTATTTATGAATTTTTAAATTACAGTAGAATACTTAATAAATTATGTCTTATGACAATTTCTGTTTAGTTATATCGAAAAAAAATATAAAACTTTTACTTACTTGTTCAATAGATTGTACATTAAAATAAGTAACTAAACCTGCTTCATAAGTTACTTGTCCTGTCCCTTCTCTATTTAAATTTTCACGTAATAACTTTAATTCATAAAGCTACTTAATGAATGTGACAACCATTTGTTTGCCTGAAAATTGAGACTCAACCGTATAATTCATCCTTTCTGTATAATTATTAGTAGTCATTAAATTTGTGTTATTTATGCTTAAAAGTTGCCCAACGTCAATAAACTGTAATTGCCATTCATCACACATCTAATTTTTGTTCAAATCCTCGATTAATGAAAACTTCTGCTCCTGAGTAAGTGGGAGTATAGTAATGAATTCCTTATAACAATCTATTATTTGAAACACCTTTTCCTCAATACAATATCGACCTACTATTTTGAATCCTAATGCAATTATATATCTTAATAATAAATTAAATTTATAAGCTTATATTTAGTAATATTAAGTGTAAAATAATATGAAACAATAATAAAACTACTAACTGTAAAGAATATGGAATATTCTATTCTTTTAGGTTGTTACCAAATGTTTGCATAATATGGAACCAGCAAAGTATAGTTCCACGTACAAGTCCTTCAACTCCTAGTTTAGTAGGTTTATATTTATCAATCATGGTGTAAGGATTCCATACTTGGTTAATACTACAGCTGTGAATTCGCTTAAATCCATTATTATTTGGAAGGTTTTCATAATGCCATAAGTGCTCACATGTAGGTTCACTACAAGGTATGTTTTGCTTAACTGCATTTATTACTAATCGTATTGACCAATTATTTTCCTTATTACTTAATTCTATTATTAATGATAAAACAATTATGTATACATAGTAAATATTAATTACTTGAATTAAAAAAATTATTAAAACAATAAATAATAATAATAATAATAATATGTAGAAAAAAAATAAAAAAAAATAAAGATAAAATACCAAATGCTAATGGAGTTCCATGTTTTGCATTATTTTCAACAACCATAGTTAAAACAGGTGCATGATCTATATTAAGATCGTATTTTCCATCAATATCAAAACAAAGTTGTCCAAAATCCCTTCCATTTCTCAATCAAAATTCGTCAGAAACCGTTAATTAATAGTAATGTTCAGCAGAATTCTCTGGCTTAGATAAGTCGAGTTGTTGATAGTATAAAACATAATCTTTAGATTTTAAAATTTCCTCGACTAGATAATGAAGAACTGTCCATGGACCTGTGTAATCTTTTAATCTCCTATCTTCACGAATAATAAATCTCTCTAACTTCTTATTATCACAAATTTTTCTACTATTTGATAATGCTTCATTTAAATCTTTCTCATTAGTACCATTTAATGAATACAGTAATTTTCCTTTTATAGTTTTTGTTGTATGATGATCTGCACAATAGTTAATAATGATTTGGTCTCGAACTTGACATGTCAAATTAATCCTTGTAATTTGTAGAATACTAGTATTTATCATATTAGAGGGATAGTGTGTTCCTTCGATTTTATTACGAAGTTGGTAATCAGAGTTGAGATATGATAACTGTAAATAAGAATGAACTCGAACAGAACAACGATATATATCATTTCCATTTCTTAGATTATTAGGCAAATGAAAATTCGAACATCCAGATACGCATTCCTCAATACCACCACATTGATGCTGACAAGTTTTTCCATCACCAGCACAATACATAATCCATGACCAACATAGCTTATCTTTTTTAAGACTAGCTTAAATTTGGTTAACATATTCTTGACCTTTATTAGTAAGTTTTAAGATATCATCAATATGATTTGTTGATTTTTTCTTTCCAGAAGCTATTTATTCTGTATAGTCAACCACACCATCAATACGATAAAGCATAATTAGTTCGCATGGATTAATTGTGTAGTTTTTAAATAACTTTGAGATTTTAAACGTGTATTTTTTAAAAGTGGATGTTGTAATAAATACCACTCAGCTATTCGTTTAAAAGAAACTGAAACTGAGTTGTTGTTGTTATAGATAATTTGGTTTTCAAACATGTTATGAAAAAAAAAACAATTTTAAAGATAAAATTTTGTCATATTCGCTATAATTTTTGTCTTTATTAACTCATGTTAACTCACGTTACTTGCAAAAATTAAGTTGATCAAATTACTATTTATTTGTTTATAATGTAATATGTAGCACATGTGTTACATATACATATGCGCTTATTATTTTTTACTTTGATTAATTTATAATATATTTACGTACATATGTATATCATATATATCAGATATGTACTACATATATCATGTAATATCACATCAAAAAAGTATAGGAATTTTAGGATACATTTGGATGTATCAAAAAAGTAGGCGCAGGTGTATCAAAAATGAATGTTTTGCTATACAGACAGGAGAAAATGTTGATGTTACACAATTAATTTCACACCTTGTGTAAAATTAATTGTGTAACATCCTGCTTGATACTTCAAGAAGGACCATCCAAATATGGGGATCATCTAAATCAACTACCCCAGGATCGCCATCAAATTTTCACTTTCACGTGATGATCATCCAATAGTATGTTTCGTTTTAATGTAACGTTACACAATAATGAAGATCAAAACAAAACATTCACTTTTCAAAAATCGCTTATTCCTCAAAAACTAGCATAAGAAACAACCTTTTGAGCTCTAACAAAAAAAATTCCTCGAGTAATTTTACTATTACTTTTCTAAAACCTAGCCCTATTATAAATGCTAACCCTAACTTAAACGAATTTAAAGATTTTTAAACGCGGTCACGTGAAAGTGAAAATTTTGATGGCGATACTGGGGAAGATGTCTAAAGCCAGGTAGTCACATGACCTACAAGCCACAGTGGCAGTGGCTTATAATGGCTATGGCTAACAAAATTTTTAAAAACCTAAGTGGCTTGTGTAGCTAAATATGGCTTATATCTTGTCACTAGCCACTACTTTCAGAAACCTGGGATACACTAAAGCCAGGTAGTCATGTAAAATATATTGCCACATTATTGCCACACCATTGCCACACTATTATGCAGTAAATTATTACATATTTAAAATCGATTAATATAAAATTAATTTAAAATTTTTTAATTTATTTTTTGTTGCATATTATAAGATAACTAATTCTAATCTAAACCTAAACTCTAGTTCTATTTCTAACTAAAACACAATCCTAATCGATTTATAACCCCGATTCTAACTAAAACACAATACTAAACTGATCTATAACTCTAACCTTATTTCTAATCTTTAAAAACCCTAATCCTATTTTATTCAACCAAACATCCAACTAAATATCTTTCGATAATAAATAAAGTTTGTAAGAGCATAAATACTAATTTAAGATTAAATAATAAAATGCAAAATTAAAATTAACAAAACCAGTTTACAAATCAAGAACATAAATGCCTATTTATATTCTACAGTATCCTCGAATCATTTATTCGTATTAATCATTTCATTAATTTCAAACATAAAGATCAAATTTATAAACCGATTCACAAATTAACTATATAAAAAAAATATGGAATTTTGAAAATTATCAAATTTTTTGTTCAGAAAATTGACCCTGTTCTGAACATTTAAAGGATGTTTATTGGATAATATGTTTTTATATGCTTTTTATAAATTATTTATATAATAATTTTCAATTAAAAATTTTCTATTTTTATATCCTGTACGAATTTTGTAATAAAAACAGTACAAATATAAACCCTATTCGAAAATCAACTCCATTCTGAACACTTTTTTTGACAATGCCTCTACAAACTTTTTATAGAGTAAAAAAATAAATATCTATCTACTATTTCTTAATACCTTTCGAATCATTTCATCAGTGTTATAAATTCAAAAAATTTTTATTGGTGTAAGCACAAAAAAATGTCGACAAAAAAAAATTTTACATGTGCTCTATATACTGAGAGCACTGATTACATACAAATTTAAATCTATATACTCTGTACCTACTGCATGAACCCAATTTATATCACTGCATTTTATTCATCTAAATTATTTCATTCAACTCTAAATAAAAAAATTACTTATTAGTTATTTAAAGTAAAATCAGCCAAAACAGTTACAAATCAAGAACATAAATATTTATCTACAAAATTAGTTCATAAATCAAGAACATAAATACCTATCTATCATTCATAATAACTTTAGGCCATTTCATTTGCTCACAATTTCATTTAGCCCTGAATAGAAAGATCATTTATTGCTATTGGAGTTAAAATCAATGAAACTAGTTCACAGTCAAGAACAGAAATGCCTGTCTATTATATACCTGGGTAATGCATAGTAACCTTTACAACAATACATAAAATAAGCTGTTCAATCACATCTATATAATTAGTAGTAGGTTGTTGGCACAAGCCAAATTTTGGTAGCATGATACTAAGATTTGGATTATACCAACAATTCTGGTGGGTAGATATAAAATCGTTAGTTTATCAGCATACATATCCAGCTAATTTATTATGCTAACTTTATTTTTAAAGTTGTAATTTCAAGCAAGTGCTGACTTTAGGCACAGATAAGTATTAGTTAATCATAAAAGTGTTTTGTAAAGATTTAATGAAGGTTAAAAGACCTATATTAATAATAGTATGCCGAATTATCTGTACATTGTTGTTACACAAAGTACTGGAAATTTTTAATGTGAATACTTTAATTTTTTAATTTTAATTTTAACCCAAATCAAATTTAAAATTTTGTAGTATTATCTTGGTTTTAGAAGTACATATGTAAGCAAGTAAGTTTTATAGACTAGCATTAGTAATTTATTCTTTTTTTTGTTTTTTACACATATATTGATTTATTTAATATGTAGTACGCATATTTATATTTCAGTTATTGTGTACTTATTAAGAATTTGACTTAATAACATGTCTAGGCGTTTAATAAATTCTGTAGCAATGTTTTCATTACTCTTCTTTTCAGTTGTACGGTATCTGTCATATATTTTTTCCATAATCTCACCAATATGTAACCTACGTGCCTTCATCTCTTTCTCTTCTAAAGTTTGAACAGGTACCAAAATTTTAGTTATTTTGTTACCTTCATATATTGCGATACCTTCTTTTACAAACATATCCTGAAGCCTTTTCCAAATATTAATGGTCAATAACTTATTAGAGGCTTGACCAAAAAGATGCTGATGAAAGATGTGTTTGCAAGGAACCAAATAACGGCAGAAGAACAGGCATGTACATTTTGGTGCTATTAGATTTGGAAGCAGTTTTCTTTTTTCAACTCTTTTATTCATAGCAGTAATCTCGCTGGTCATTAATTTTTGAATTGGATATGGAAATTTGTGAATTTGTTCGATTGTTTCATCATTAAAATCAAAAATTGAGATACATTTTTGAAAAAAATTTATGGCAGTTTTTTCTGAATCAAGCTCTTTTTTATAATCTAACTTAATAATTTTATTACAGGCACCTAGAATTAATATTTATTTAGTATTATGAAGACAACTAATATATTTGAGTGACTGTGAGAGAAGATCTGTATTATTCTATGAGTGCACATAACCAAAACCTGTAATTGTTCAAAAATTTAGAAATGAGTTTATTATATTCTGATAAGCTTGCTTCTATAAAATGAAAATTTTAAAAACTAGAATTACAGAGTTTAGTTATATGGCACTTGCAGATATCATTACTTACTAATAAACTCATGTTGCTTTGATGTAATTCTTTTGAGCTCGCTATGATAAGACTCTAAAGGATTTGTAGTAGTGACTTGCAACAATATAGAAGAATGTTGACAGGCCCAAAGGGCCCATTTTTTCATATTTTTAATATAATTTCTATTAAGATAATGGACAATATCAGGAACGGGACATGTATTTATAGCATTCCAGATGGTTTCCTCACAATCAGTCTTTGTTGTTTTGTTCATTGCAAGAATCATTTGATTGTGAGTCACCAAGTGGTAAATTTTTTGTATCCATGTGTGCATTACATGAATAGTGCAAAAGATTACACTACAATTTTGTTCACCATATGTGGCCCCCAGAAATGCTTTAGATATACTATTAATTTCAACAGTGGTTTGGTTACAAAGCATATAACGTAGATGCTATTCAGGTGCAAGTTCACAGATTATTTTTAATACACAGGATAGTGTACTAACATTTTCAATATTTATGAATATATGTGTGCTAATATTCCAGGAACTGTGGTTATCACAATGGTATAAGGTAAAAAGCTGCCATTGATACTTATTAGTATCATGTGTTACATCAATAAGGGTAAGCCACTCAAATTTTTGTAACCTTTAAATTTGCCTTTGATTAGCAAAACAGAAACCACGGAATTGTTCAACATGAAAATAGTTTACTTGATAATTTTTTGTGATCAAAAAATTGAGTGCATGTTGAAGTCCATTTTCAAAACTATGATTACTAGAAGGATAGACATTTTGTGGCACGCACTGTTTTTGTTAAATATTAGCAACGTCTTTTTGAGTCAAGTTTTGAGCAAGTGTGCTGATGTCATTTTTTTGAACAAGTTCCTTAATAGTTAGAGGTAAATATGTAAAAAAAAAAAAGAAAAAAAAAGAAAAAATAAAAAAATAAAAAAGGAAAAAAGATATTTAGAGTGTATACCAAACTATAATTTGTTATTACCTTGACTGTCATGACGATACTTGACGGCAAGTAGGATTTACTTGCCTCTTGGGCTACCAATTGTCGAATTACTTCCAGTGTATTTAGCAAATCACTGTCTTCAATTGGATGACTATGGTGAGGTGTATTCTTGAAATGTTCAACTCGAACAGTTCGAGTCGCAATGATATATGTAATCTTGATTTTTGCTTCACATATGCCTTCAATGCACACACTAGTATTTCTTCTCTTATTAGCAGGTATTCCTTCTTGCCTTGTACTTAATTTGTTATACTCTATGAGACAGCAGGCATAAACGGTCCAGAAATCTCTGTTTGCACACTTTCAGCTATTATATCATGTCCAAATATTTGAAATTAAAGGCCAAATTTCTTCATCAAACTCTTGTCTTGGGACTTCGAATGTGGCATCAACATTGAAAAAGCAAGAACATTTTTGTTCAACTGTCATTCCTTGCATAATGTGAAATAAAAGAAAACATTTCAAAATTTTTATTTATTTATTTTTTTTTTATTACTATCAAATTTAATAATTTTGACTCTACTATGCTAATTGCATAATATTCAAATGACATTACTTTTTTATTGTAAGTTTAATTTTTAAATTATATTAACAAAGTTTCTTTTTTTTTAGGTGCTATGTCATAGGAATTAATGATCATATAATAGACTAATCAAATACATTTTACATATCTTCTGAAGGTGATTTAGATATAAAATTATGCTTTTAAAAGATAGTGCCTGTGATGTTTTTATATATGGTATAGAGGATGCATGTCAGAATGTTTGTAATGAAACAATTGGCAATAACTATTATTTGTTTTATAGATCATTTAAATAAAACTTAAGAGGTAAACTGTGTTTAAAGGGTATAAAAATAGCAAATTTATTAGCAAAAGTTGTCAGAAGTTGATATGTTTTTTCTATAAGGTTGGAATGCAGTTAGTTTACAATGAAAATTTTTTTTATGCCAAGTAACAAAGATTATAGAACAAGTCATTCTGGTTCTAATAATGGTAGAATTATTCAAATTGGTTTGGTAGATCGTGAGCTATTGGCATTTTCTCCTTTATAACTATGTGATTTTTACATAATGCCAGAAACTTGTGGCATTCCAACATTATATAAAAGCAATAGTAATTTTCTGCTGATTTTAACTATGAAATTTAGATCCTTCAACTGCGATCTACCACTTAATTTATATGCAAGTTTAATATGTCAATTGTAATGAAAAAATTTAATATTCAGTTAAATTTCTTGTAAACAACTACATGTTACTCTGGATTAATCAACAATTTTTTTCATTAATAAAAAAATTCAAAGAGTTAATAAATGAGTTATATGACCATAGTAAATTCACTATCCAAAAAAGTTTGGAATATCATGTAACAAATATATCAAGCACTAAAAATTCATGTCAATTAACAAAAAAAATATAACCAAAAAATTTAGCTAACAAAATAATAATAATATGTACTAAATTATTCATTTTATTATTTTGAATAACTCAATAAACGGGATATTTATTATAGCCAGAAAGTATTATAATTATGGTTTTTCTAAGTATTTGGAATATTTGATTATAATTATCTAATTTATGCAATAGTACAAAGTTTTTATTAATACTATCAAGCCATTTGTTACTATTTGCTTTCTTCAATAATTTTTTGTTGCTGTGTCCTGGATTCCAGAGTTATAATCTTTTGGAAGCGCATTAAAAATTAAATCTACAAGATTTTCTGATTCAATTGCATTTCTTAATTAGTTTTTATAATTTATTTCAATTTTCATTTTTTTTTTATTTATTGTTAATGGAAATTTGGTTACAACAATCAACATATATTTTTAGAGTAATGTGTTTATTGGGTTTCTTTATAGAATCAAAGAAAAAAAATCACTTACTAAATCAATTATGTTAATCTTTTGATAAATATTATAGGACATGATGAAACCCGTGTTGTAAATTGGTAAAATCTGCTATGCAGATCACATAAGGGTAAAATCTGCTTTTGCATAATAAAAAACATAGCTAAACGTGGATTTCACCCTCTTTCAATATTATTATCATGATCTAATCATGAACATGAATTGACAATATCATATATTTTTTAGCCATTTATAGGCTTCTATTATGATATCAAATTCTAATTTCCAATTTACGGATTTCCAGTGATGTGTAATGTCGAAAATTTGTTTACAATAATTTGAAAAGGGCAATAGTATCTGGAGTTTGGATATAATTTTGAAAAAAATTGACTGAATTTATAACAATGCGAACCAAATGCTAATTAAAGTTCTACAAGTGCCAGATACATACTATTAAAAATGATGCCCAGCCTGTACCTGGCACTTGCAGAACCTTAATGCTAATGCGACTCAACCTTGACCATCTTTTCTCACTAGTGTATCTAGTAATAACTTAATAACTACCTGGCTTTAGCATACTATTTGGCTTTAGCATACTACCTAGTTTTAGCATACTATCTGGCTTTAGCATACTACCTACTTAGCCACACAAGCTACTTAGAGTTTTTATAAGCCACTGCCACTGTGGCTTGCAGGTCACATAACTACCTGGCTTTAGACGATCCCCAAATATAGTCAATATGACTGCTATATCTGCTATTATGCTATGTAGAAGTTAGGAATTGTATATGTTTTGCTAAATCATACATGTTATTGTATTAGAGAAAATAGATAAGTTTAAGTTTGATAGAAGATAATTGTAAGTTGTTAGAGACATTGAAGTTATCTATAACAATTGGTTGTATATTGTTTGTATTTGCTTCTTGGATTCATAGTATAATATTGTTCTGAATAAGAAGTTTAAGTTGAAGATCATTACAAGGTAGATAGACTAATATAATATGGAACTTAAAGTTATGTTTAAAAAAAAGGTCTATTGCAATAGCATATCCAGGAAAGTTAAGTATTTTATGAACATGTGATTTAAAATGTTTTGAATTATAATTGCTGTTCTGGCTTTACAATTATCAGTACATGACTACTAATAAGTAAAGTATTAAGATCTAGAAAATTTAGCATGTTCATTGTTTTGTGAGATTTTAGTTTCTGTAATACTAGCAATGTTTATATCATGAAATAGGTAGTAATTCTCTCATGTTTGTTGTTTTAAGTTGTCATTATATTTTTATATATTATGTGTACATATTGACAGATGCAGTAGTTTGTATAAGTTAGATGTAAATGTTTTGACTATTAGGTTAGAGAATGTAGATTTATAGATGGTCTCTAACCAAAAAGCTGTATGATTAGATGCAAAAGTAGATGATAAGTTAGTAGATAGAGATGCTAAGAATATGTCAATAAGAAACAATTAATCAAGTGAAGATAGGTAGATGTTAGATGAAGTATTGTTTAATATTGTTAGTAGAGGTAAGTGCTTGTATAGTTCATATTAAAAAGGTTGAATGAGGTGATGTTTAGACAGAATAGGATCTGAAAGGTCAGTGTATATATGTAGCTTAGTTAGTTATGATTGATAAATATATTAAAGCTTTGTTTGAAAGAATGTTTTTGAAGATAAGATCGAAATTCTTCAAATGTTATATAGTATATAATAGGTAGATTATATAGTAATAGGAATTTGTTATAATAAGTATTTGTTCCTGCAAGAGGTAAAGTGTTGAAAACAGAAACATGAGAGATTTGATTGTCTTTTACAGGGTTATTTACTGTTTGAAGCTTGGCTTGTACAGCTGTGAAAAGTACCATAATCTGCTCTATATATTAGATCTGATCATTATTAACTTGACCTTTATGTAAATAGGCTTTACTGCCTGCCCACTTACATCATCTTTCTTGTTAACTACTAGAGATGTATCTTTTGACAAGGTGGTGGCTGCATTAATAAGGTTTGTAGAAAACAGATTTAATAAAAAGGAGCCTTCTTAAAGAAGAAAAACTTTTTAATTAAAGAAGATATAGAGTATGACATTTGGAATTTTTTTTGTAATATTTTGTTTGCCTCTGGATAGGCTGTTTCTTAGTAATAAGTGTTAATTTGTGGATAGGTAAGATTTTTGTCAGAGAAGTTATAGAAACTCAAAACTTTTGCTAATAGCTCAGTGCTAATAGTTTTGAGATAAGAAGTTCTATTGCTTGTCTATATAGTGGTTTTGTGTTGCAAGCTTTGATATACGTTAAGATATAAATAAAAATAATAGCTACAACATTTAGGATTAGTTAGAATATTGTTGATTGCACAAGCTAATTTTTTCATTTCTGTTGCAAGTTCATCAAAAAGAGTAGTTGGTTTTGTTTATTAAAAGATGTCTCATATTTGCTATTTTTATAGAATATAAATAGATTGGTTTCAGGTTATTTCCAAATTTTGGTTTCTTGTTTTGAAAAATCTTCAATAGACTTTTTGAAAATATTATTTAGTGGTTGTAAGTATTTATAGTAGTACTAAGGTTTTGGAGTTGTATTAGATAAGTTTGGATTTTCTGTTTCTTTTTTCTTATTTTGAATTGCTATTTCTTTTAAATAAGAGCAATTTTCTTCTTTATAAGTAAGTATATGAAAGTTAGCTAGTTTTATAGTTTTATTTCAATGTTCTTACAAATTATTAGGTTGCTAAAATTTTATTTTTGTAGGTAGAGTTTCTTTAAGGTGAAGGATGAATTGCTATCAGTTTGGTATTTTAGAGAACTAAAAACTTTAGTTTCATTTAATGATTGGGTGAATTGTTGATTATAAATTGGAGAAAAATTATTTAAATCATTATTTTGAATAATCCAATGAATTAGCAAATGATGAAATACTAAGTTTGTGAAAAAAAAGTTTTTGGAATATTAAAGTCAAGATAAATATTAAATTTACTATCAGATCAAATTATAAAGTATTGCTTGTTCTTGTCAAAGTCAATTACTTTGATATAATATTAAATCCTTTAAATTAGAGTTGAAAGTTTTCAGCAAATTTAATGTAGTCAATTGCTTGGTAATTGTTTAAAAGATATAAAAAATATAAGCAATATTAATACAAGGTTGAATTTGGTTTTGATTTGCATATAGTAGAATAGTAGCTGATAAAGCAAAGATTTTAGAATAATTGAGTTTTGTAAATAAGATTGTAGTAAAGGCAAGAATAAGTTTTATAGGAGTTTATTCCAATATGTCAAATAGGATAGTAATAGCTTTGTTAGTATTAGGATTTGTTTGTCAAATAAATTCAATAAGAAATTGAGGTCTGTCTTCTGTCATTTTATAGATAATATGGTAGAAGCTGGCTTTGAAAGCTTTTTGCTTAGAAGTTTCAGGTTTAATTTCTTTTTCAGATAGAAGTCATACAGATAAAATTTAAGAAAATTGAAGATTTTTTATAAAAATTCTGTTTGAAGTTATATTTGTCTTTTATATCATCAGAGATTAGAAAATTAGCAAGCTAATTAAATGTTAAATTTGCTTTAATTTTAGGTTAATTGTTAGTAATATT